CTAAATTATGTATTAAATATTAAAATAATCAGTAGTAGCCATTTATTTGATGGCACTGAATATAAAAATAACAAATGTCACACTTAGTCCTGTAAAATATAATTGAAACTGTCAGCTACAATAGTGTTTGTTACAAAAAAAAATAAGTATTCAGAAAATAACATCTGACAGTGACGTTTGACGAGGAGTAAACGATTTACGAAAGTTTCGTTTAGAGTAAGATTTGCAGACATATTTGTTCCGCGTTCTCGACGAGGTCGAATGTCCTCCGCGGTGGCCTTGATTTTGAGAGAATTTCATAGTTGGTCGTGTTTTCTCGGTGTTCGCAGACTTCTAGTCTGCAAGCTACCTCCTCCAGGTCGCCCTCGTCTTCTTTAACCTTTACCTTAACGATTGGCGCACTTTCTCCGTTGGCGGTGCGGTGCCAGGTTCCCTCGCGTACGTCCGTGCCCGCCTATGAGCTACGACGCATTTTGATGGCGACATTGAGGCAAATACCGGAGCAGGCCGAGGGGACGAATTTCTCCGGGAGTGGATCTCGCGCGCTGATAATTTCTACTCGATCGGGCGAGTCCTGTTTCAGACCTCTCGAAGACGATCGTTCCGCCATAAATGGTGCTCTGTCTTTTATTTATTTAACTCTTAAATACCCATCGTTTCATCATTCGGTCAGATACAAAGGATAACACGTATAATTTTATATAAAAATCTCCGATAAGTGTATACGTTTCCTGGATCGATTTTAACGAAATATCTCGTAACAGATTCGTATCAGTGGTTCCCGTATAATCGGAGAATCGTTTCACTGATGTAGCAGAATTCCATTTAACGGAATATTAATGACTCGTTACGCGTAGCCATGACTCAAACACGATGCATTTACGCGGGGAATGCGAAGCGCTCGGAACGATACCGCTTGCGCGGTCGTTCGAGTCTCCGATTTCCATACGCGCGTAACGAGGTTCCCGCCCTTTTAGACGACCCGGACAGCTCCGTGGATCGATTCCAAGCATCCCCGATCGATCGTCGATATTTTGTTTACTCGCTCGTTACTCCGATACGTCTCCGGAGCCCACATAACGACGTTAATCGCTCGACGAGTACTAATGAACGCTAAATATAACCGCGCTCGAATATACCGCTATAATAGATAAAAGATAGTACCCACATTTCAGGCGTTCGCCTTTAAAGCGTATTAATGCGAAAGTCGACAACGAGACTGATCGTCGCGTATAGCTGTTGCTGTCCTGCATTCCACGCCATTGGAATCTCAGTGGTCGACCTAAACCGACTTCCGCTGTCAAGAAAGCAGTTTCTCGATCGCGTTCCCCTGGGAAATTCTCCAAACTTTGCCATTCGTATCGAGACTCAAGATGCAACGTCTCTTCTACGAATCTAGAGAGGTTCGCAAGAGCGTGATAGAATTTGTTTAAAAATAATAAATGGAATGGTAGAGCGAAAAGGCGGTTTGGTGGTGGATTACCATAACATTTCGCGCGATCTTGAAAAGCGAAAGAACGAGGTCGAGCTCGTAAATTGGTCGAACGGTAGGCGCGAAGAATTCGTCATACGGTTTGGACGCGGAAGCGTGTAAGTGAATTTCACGTTTACCCGTATATCTGGTTTTACGCGAGACGCCCGGAGACGATCGTCCCCGTCCGGCGTCCACGCGGTACAGCCGGAGAGACGACGCCGCGACTCGTTTCTCGTATGTGGGTCAACCGCGGGGAACCGCGTTTCGCACGCGCCATTTTTCGCAACGAAAAGGAAAGCCATGGCTCACGCGCCTAGCAAAATCCGACTTGTTTTGCGTAGGCCTCCTCGCCGTCGAGCGCAACGCGTAACGGTGCTTCGACCTACTTCCGTTCCCCACTATACGCGCGCTCGGATATAGTTTAACCGCGTATAGTGGCACGAACAAGTGTCCATCCACGACAGTTCCTCTCGTTGGGGCCTCGTGAAACTCGAATTAGGAACGTGGATCTATTCCTACCAATCCTCTCGCAATCAACTCATCTTTATATCGTTAAATCATTAAAAGAAATTGTAAATTGTGCTTCGATGCATTACTTTGAAAAACAATTAGTCTTCGAAGAGTTCCAGAGTCGCGAGAATTTCGCAGGCATTTCTCCAGTTCCTGGTCGAAACAGGAAATTTATCAACGAACAAGAGAATCGTTCTAACGCTCGTGTATCGGCAGAGGGCAGAAGTGGGTCAGCGCGGAAACCACGGCTCGCACGCGCCATTTTTCACAACGAAAAGGAAAGCCATGTGGGCAAAATCTAGCCGATTTGCGTAGGCTTCGACCGTGCAGCGGGCTGTAACGGTGCTTCGGCCTACTTCAGCCCCCCACTATACGCGAGCGCGGTATAGTTTCGGGCGTATAGTCACGGGCGCAAGTGCACGCGGACCAACGATGCAGGTCTTCCTTGCACGCGTGCATGGGCCATTTCGTTTCGGATCTTTTTCTTTTTTTTATCGGCCATATCGACGTCGATACGTTGAATTAATTACTCGCTATGCATTAACCCTTCCGGACCTAACTCATATTTATATGTAACGTATCGTATTTAAAAGTCAGTAATTTTGGATCCTACAATGGCAGAATCGAAAACGCTATTTCTATGATCGACTATGTTGTGTGTATGAAATTACGCAATGATCTGATCGAATAGAACTTAAATTTTAGGTTCGAAAGAGGGTATTTCAATGCCCAGTGGTTGAGAAAACCATCATTATAGGTTATCTGATATACATAGATTGTCTACTTCCCAATGAAATTTCAAAAAATTAGACACTCTGTTTGGAGGACAACGATGTAGCATAAATAGTATACATTCATACTTAAAAAAAAGAGAGAAATTACAAGTTACAAATACGAATGTATCATTCAGTTTGAGACCATCAGATGTAATCATTCTAACGAACAAAGTGTATGCTCTTTCTTATGTACAAGTAACATGTATTCAATAAACCGATCGAATATATTTTGAACAACGTGTCAGCGCCTATAATATCTGATCTACACGAAAAATCGAATAAACTTGGTATTCGTCGTGTTTGCAAAAAGAAAAGACAATAAATACGTTGGTAGCGCAGCCGCCGATCGTCCAGGCGGTAATTTAATGGCGGCTCGAAAACCGCTCGCGCGAGATACGTCCGCGATGGTGAGCATGTCGTAAACCTGGATGGCTCCGTGTGCAAATCGATGCGGCCGAATTGGTCGCGTCGCGCGGATACCCGGTGATCCCATTGATAAGTGGCTCACCGAGACATTGTCGTAGGCCCGAAAAAGTGGGACCGTCGGACCCCGTGCTCGCCGCTGGTTGAAACTCGCGGTCCCGTGGCTTCCGCGAGCGAGTCGACGCCGCTGGATAACGGTACCCCGGTGAACACGTCACGGCTCGCCGGGACCCCCTGTCCTCTCCGTCGGGCTCCGCGGTGGGGACCACCAACGCGTCTACCGTCCGTTGGCAATCGACAAGGACGGGCTCTAACCGACGACAAGGACGGACACGGCGCGTTCGAGTGAACACGGCGGGGCGCGAAGAGAGGAGGGCGAAGAGAAGGAACCTCGTGGTGGACAGGCCGGACCATACGTATGCGCCGACCATTTGCATGATTCCCATGATGTGCTCCATGCGGCCACGCGGATGTGTCAATCGGAACAGAGAGAGAGAGAGAGAAAGAAAGAAAGAGAGCAAAGCCACAGAGATGGCGGAGTCTTCTGCTTCGATACGAATAGACGCGTCCTTTTGTCCGATTATCTCGGATAAATCCACCTTTGTAGTTCCTGACGCTCGTTGTTATACTTCCCCGCCGATGGATACCGTACGTTCGGAAGTCGCTTGGCCTAGTTATAAAATAATTACGCAGCGTGGTTCTTTTCTTGTTAGTTAACAAGTATAACAGTTGTTATGATTGACGATAACTCGTACGACTATGCGCGTGCCCGTGGTCGTTCGTTTCGCGCGGAAACTTTCTATCGAGAAAGATGAGCGTGCATTCTTCGGTCTTGTCCGTTCCTGAATGAATGTCTTTCTTTCTTTTTTCTTTTTTTTTCTCTCTTCTTTCGCAAAGACTCGTCGTTTGTTCCTTCTCGCTCGCCGCGGACGGGATAGGATGATGGCTAGGCTATTTGCAACACGAAAATGTATTTTTAAACGCGTCAATTTGGTTGGTCGAGTGTACCCAACCGTGGCTGGCTAGCGTGCCACTAACCTAGTTAGCGGGAGCAAGTCCCTTTCTTCTCGAGAGAAGTGGTATCTGCCTACTTAACTTCATGATACATGCTGATATAGTGTATTTATATGTGTGCGCATTGTACGTGTTCGGTTGCACGCGCGCGCGCACGCACGATGTAGATTAAGGTTAGGTCGATATTAGATTTTAATAACACCATTTTTACCCTCACCCTCCCCCTACCGCGATTCTCGTTTTTTTCGTTCTCTATCCGTGTATCCGCCCTCACACTTGCGCAATAGGGACGTTCGATACAAAAGTACTAGAAATTGCAAGCGTATATGTATTGCTTCCGGGAGAAAGAAGGTAAAGAATATTTGTTCCATAATTTTAACGTAAGGTATATACTTTTATCAGTAATGTTATAAAATTATTTTGAGGAATGTGATAAAGTTATAGATTTTTTGAAAGAAAATGATTGGAACGACATTTGCGATTACTAATTTCCCGCCAAGCAACAATCCAAATTATTATTTCCCAATTACTGTAATACCTTGGAAATTGGCTATCCCCATTACTCCTTCGAACTGGCTTCCTGACTATCCCAGCGACCAAGTATGATCGTGTTTTTAAAACTATCGTGAGTTTTAGAACTATGCATCTCTAGCTTACTCGTAGTATTTCCTCCCTTCAACTTTGGACCAATTTCGGCCAATGTCCAATGTCCAAGGCATTACTGCACGTATCTTATAAAAAAAGGAGACGAGGAACGTTCGATGGAGGAGCGCTGACCAAAGCGTAAATTGTTTCTGTTGCAGGTCCTCGCGGCGCCGTTGGCGGTTGCAGCACCCCCGGCAGTAGAGTGGATCCCTGGTGGAATCCTGGTTCCCTCTTCCCCTCGACCCCTGGGCCCCCAAGGATCGACGAGGGGGCACCGGATAACGGTAGCGGTGGTTTTCAGTTTTGTAGTCCACCGAATCGTAGCTTGAATAGCCCGTCGCAGCCGTCGCATCAGCAACACCACCACACGAATCCACGGCATCAGTCGCACCATCAGCAAAATCAGTCGCACGCGGGCAGATACGTTTGTCCGAACTACGGTATCGGGCCGATCTCGTCCTCTTCGTGCTCGTCGTCGAGCCTCGGTCACGCGGACACGGTAGCGCGAGGCGCTGATGCCGTAGGCTCGCCGACCAGCGCGTACGGCATCGCCTCGTCGTCGCCGGAGCCCTGTTCGCCGAGCAACCTGATACTATCCGCGTTGCTGACGACCACGTCCACCGCGGACGGCAACGGTCAGGGTACGCGAAACGCACCGCCGACGACCAGCCACGGGAACGCGTTAGGGTCGACCACCGCGACCTCCCTGGCACCAGGTCACGCGCGCGGCCTAGGCAGCTGCGCGACGTCGGCTGATTCCTTAAACGGAATCCTATCGTCTCTAAACGTGCGGATCAAGACGGAGGAATACTCGAAAATACGTACGGAGGAACGAAGAGCGACAAACGCTACACTCTCGTCAGCGTCGTCGTCGCTATCTTCGTCCTCGACGTCCGCCTTCAACACGTCGCTGCTGAGCTCGTTGCTCTCCACTTCGCGGATCTCGACGGGTCCCTGCAGGCCCGACAACGACGAGGACCTGCTCGCCCGGTCGTGCATCAAGCTCGAGTACCCGTCGCCGGACGCGCACCAGACGCAGGAACAGGACGAGCAGACCGTGGTGCGCAGCATCAAGGTCGAGTACCCGCTCAGCCAGTCGTCCCAGGACGTGCTGGACGAGGAAGAGGAGCTAGCCGCCACGTCGCCATACGACATAATCGCCGGGACTCCCAGCAGGTGTTTGCAGAAGCAGCCCGGTTGCGGTAAGAGCCAGACGGGCTCGTTGGTGAAGGACGTCGTCGTGCCACCCTGTCAGACCGTCGTGTCGCCGACCTCGGACATCGTGATCGACATGAAGTACGAAAGCCAGTCAGGCCCGCCGACAGCGCCCCCGCATCTGACGTCTTCCGGGGTGGAACCGCCTCATAGCAGCCAAGGGACGGGGATCGTCGTCGGCGGATCGCCGGCCGAGGTGGTCGGCGTGGACAGTTTGCTCCTGTCGCCGTGGGGCGCCACGGGACCCGACTTCCTCGAGCCACCCGACGTCAAGCAAACGGCAGCTGGTCTGCAGGATGCGTGGGACACTCTATTGCTCGGCTCGTCGGTCGGCGTGACGTCCGCCCAGTCGTTGGCGGAGCTGAAGCCTCTGCCACCGTTCACGGGGTACACGGGACACCTGAGCATCAACGGGATACCCGGTCACCATTATCACACGATAGCCTCCTCCGCGCAGAGGCCCTCGCTACCCTCCTCGTCCCCCACCTCCTCCTCGAATCAAGAGTATTACGAGTCGCCGGTGGTGTCCTCGAGCACGCCTTGCCCGCAGGGCAGTCAGAAGCAACAGCAACAGCAGCAGCAGCAACAGCAGCAACACCACCAGCATCAGCAGCAGCAGCAACAACAACAACAGCAGCAACAGCAGCATCATCATCACCAACAGCAGCAGCTGCCGCAGTCGACGCAGCAGGTCGATTACGACATCGAGGACATCGCGGAGATCATCGGCTCGGCGATAGCCGATACCACGGTGCCCGGGGGTGGGAACGGGGCTGGTTCCGAGCACGATCCCGACGCGTCGCGCGATTGGATCGACATCGCCGAGTGGATAGACACCGCGTGCTCGCCGAAGGCGCAGGAGACCACCTCGCCTAGCCCTTACTCCCAGATATACGCGACGGCGACGCCGTCGTCGCAGGCGCAGCAGCACGGCTCGACCTTGCAGAGCTTACTGACGCACGGCTACGCGCCGTTGCTGAACGCCAGGTTGCAGTCGGCCAACGCTGGCTTGCAGAACGCGTCCTGCGGCGAGACACCCTCCTCGACGAGCCCCTATCCGCCCGTCAGCCCGCCCGGCAGAGTCTCCACCTCCTGCAGCCCCGATCACCTGTTGCACTCGTCGTTCGCGGCGCCCTCGCACCCCAGGAAGAGGTCACGACCGACCCCGGGCTCTCAGAATCCCTCGAAGAAGAGCCCGAGCACAGGCGCGACCGCGCTACCCTACGGAACGGAGTCAGGGCTGATAGGAGGCAAAGAGAAACCGGTGCACAGGTGTTCCATCTGCAACAGAGGGTTCCTGAACAAGAGCAACATCAAGGTGCACCTGAGGACCCACACCGGCGAGAAACCGTTCAGGTGCGAGGTGTGCGGCAAAGCGTTCAGACAGAAGGCCCATCTGATCAAGCACCAGCAGATACACAAGAGGATCGGTAGGGATTAGATACGCGGCGGTCCTTCCCTCTGTTCTGGGAGATTGTTTTGGATGTACCTATATTACCGTAAGTACCTATGGCGACGTCGATCAGAAGCGAAGCTCCGATCGGGAGAGAATGGTCCGCGAACCCGAGGATCGACGATCGATTCCACGCGCTGATGCTTCTGCGACGGGAGCTGAGGACGACGAATCTACAACCCCCCACACGGATCCGCGAATCAGATTAAACCGTCCCGAGAACGTACGGCCGCGCATAGTACCAGGTGCAATACGTGAATAGGAGGATCGAGACTTTCGTTGACAGGTATGAAACCTTCTCCATAGTGGCTCGATCGGCGGTTCTTCTATGGGGCCATGGATGACGCGCGCAAACAATCGGGTGATGTGAGGATGATCTCTCGTGCTGTGTTACGACGACGACTCGAAGCGAGCGAAAACCACTGTCGCACGGTGTGTATGTACATATACGTATCGATAACAGAGCACACGTACGCGGGTACGTGCGTATGTACAAGGTGTATCCTAACGCGTGGGGATCGTTTCGGCAGTGGATCAAGAACCAGAGAATAACCAAAAAATATTCGTGTCCTGTTAGGCCTTCGTTGCGAGTTATAGTACCTTTAATGAATTAATTTAAATTAACCCTTTGAAGGGAACGCAAAAAACGATAACTCTTCTTTTGTTATTGGTATGCGAGAACAAGTGAAAATCGCAAAGATACGTGGAAAATTAAATTATTCGATCGGCGTCTTGGCTATGTTTCCAGACTATGATTTAGCATCTTGGACGTATTGGATCCCTTAAATCGCTAGAAGAGGTATGTCGAACCCAAGTTCCTTGGAAAAAGAAATTATTTATATATTCGCGAATTACTTATAAATTATTATAGTCGTATAATCCTTGTAAATTGTTAGTTATTTATATATTTATGTACTATTTATACTCGTGTATACGTAATTAATGGTAGAGTTAAACAACAGTAATGGAATCTATACCACGTATGAAAATATGTTCAAATTTCGCAAAATTTCCAACCCAAGGTCTGATAGTACGGAAACTTGAAAGACCAAAATTAACAAAACTATAGTAGCTTACTAATTTAAATTGTCACGCTAGGTTACGAAACGATCGATCGTTAAAAGATATTAAGTGTTAAATTAATTAAATTGTACGTAAAGTGGTCAGAAGGTTAAATAATTTAATCAACTACGTATAGTTGAACTTGCATACCAATAAGAAATGATTTACCTCTCATGATTATTCTGTGATATAGTATCAAAGTGCAAGCAACTTTTAAATTATAAGTCACTGTTACTTTGAAACACAATTGACACGTATCAAATCCAATTACATCGATTTATAATTAAGAATTGTACAGCACCGACTATAACTCGAGGACAAGGTGAAAGAGAGATACGCGTTTGCAGGAACGTCGATTTACAAGCCGAGTCGGCTCCCACGAGTTAAGATACACCCTGTACATCTACATATATATACGTAGAATGAAGCGAACGTTTAAGTTTAAAGAGATAAAAAATGATGTTAAAAGGAAAGAGAGAGTATATATACATTTACATGTATACATAGTTAGGTGTAACATATATACATACGTAGAAGGAAGTGACGAAAACTACGCGAGGCGCGGCCACTCGCAATGGCCGCGCTACGGATGTACCTAAGCTCTTCCAAATACGTTTTATTTTCAGTAGATTCTATCGCTTGTTCTCTTATTTATAACGCTTTTATATTATATATTTTCACGGTCTCATTGTCTGCAGTCCTTTACTGTTTCTTTGTTATTTATTTTCGTTCCCTCCTACCCCCCCCCCGCCTTCTCCCCATCTTTGGTTAATCTTTGTAAGATAGTCGATCGTCTGTCACTTCTTATTTAAGTTTCTCGTCTTCACGCTCTTTAGCCTCCCGACAATCCGTCCCTGTTAGCTTTTTTCGATCTTGGCGCACCGTATGTGACACGTACGACGATCATTTTTTTCGTCCGCCCATCGAACGCCTGTTCCACGGGTTCTTCTCGTCGAGAAGAAACTATCATCCGAACGACGAGACTCGAATTACGTACCTAATTTATCTTTGTTTTACCGAATCGTCGTCGAGGACGCGTCACGAGCTGACGACGGATCGATCAACGAAGGATGATCGCACCCCAACCCCCCTCGCTTACGCCTCAACCAATCGCGTTACCATTCAGAGAAATATTCAATTACCATTTTTTTTATTTTTAACGCGACGATCGAGATCCTGTCATTAACTTATTCGATCGTCCTTCCTCGCTCGATCCACGGATTCACGTCGACGTTGGGCGTCCTCTGTTGCAATGGTGGCTGCGGAATTTGTAATTTGTATAAAGTCAGAAAATGTGGATTATTTAAAAACTGATGTTCGATTAAACGATTGTTACCGTAATACGAAGTTGTCGTACCGATTTTTCTGCGTTACACCCTCTTCCTTCCAAACTATTACTTTCCTGGAGATTACAGTACAGCGTATAGCACATTCCAATCAGTTTAATTAAACCGTAAATGGGAGTTTCCTCCTTTTCAAAAGTCATTCTCGTATAAAAACTCAGCTTCTAAATCAAACTTCAATCACAACATAGAATATATACTGAATTTACCATTTAAAATGAAGTCGTATTGGGAAAAAGTGCAATTACTTTTTTCAGTCGATCGAATAGCATTTCTAGGTAGTCTGTAATCGAATAACGTTTTTCGTAGCTATTTTTCGAGGCAGAACGCATCGGCGCTCACCAGGTGAAAGTTGCAAAAGATTTCGTCCAAAATAATCGGCCCGCGATACTTGCCACGACGAAACGTACCCTCTGCGTATTTACGGGCATAGCCAATCAGGAATCCTGCAAAAGATCTCGACTTCTCGTTGCGTGTTCCGCGTATCCGGATCACCTCTCCCGTGCACGCGTTCGTTTTCTTACTTTTATTTCGCTTTAAGTGTGGCAGTGACTCCGAGAGGCCGACGACGTCCGGATTCTGCGTTTACTTGACACGATGGTCACGTTGTCCGTATCGGTTTATCGAAAAACAGAATACTTTCGACGTCACGCGACAACCGGGGGACCAGAAATGAATTAATACATTAAATCTCAATATTACGGTGCATTTTTAATATACGATCAAATCATTCAGAGCAGACTAAAGTCGACGAATCGATTTAGTCTGCTCGTCGTTGTCTAAAATTTGTAGAAAGCATCGCGTTTGTCGTGCCCGCAACATCTCTGTCGGACCGTTGTTCTCGAGGCTTGACAACGTGTCAAATTACCCGGAAAGAGTCGACAAAAGATAACGCTTAGAGCTCTCGAATAGGTACAGCGACAGGTTGCGCGAACGGTGCATCGGTTGGAGCGAGGACCGCGGGACCATTGTTAAATGTAATAATATAACGGGGTTATGGTCTCAAAGGTTATACGGTCTCTCGTGACGTTGTCTCCGCGAGGAGACACGGGACAGACGAAAGAGGAAACTAGATGGCACGATCCTCTTATCTCGGTACGATTACAGAGACCCGTTAACGCTACAAATACAGATTACACGCGAGTCAAATTAATATTCGGACCCCGTATCATTTCTACTTTATCGCGATGGAATTTTCACCGTAACGAAGCAAATTGTTTACTACAAAGTGCCTGGTTAATGCTTTGTTAACATGGTTCAAACTAAACCCCAGGATCACAATATGGGGATTCGTAGCATAGAACATCTCAATATTAGAGACTTTTTTTAAATTTTAAAAAATCTCCTAATGAAATAATTTATAGATAGCTGTTTTTCTATCCACATCTTGGCCCTGAATGTTCCACAGACTTGGGTCACCAGAATTTTTGGAGGAGGTTATTGTTAGTCACGATTTCGTACCGCGTAAACTAATGATTAATACCATTACCGTCATGAAAACGCGTTTTATGGACGAAAAGACGGATTTCTCTCACATCGTGATCATCACTCACAAGGGAATGACTCAACCTGTCCCCCTTCGATTTTAACCTCCTTTTGCAGGATGGTAGATTACGGGTCCCTGTTGCTACGTGTGGAATATTAGGTGTAATAACTTGATCATTTTAGACATATAAGTAATTAAAGTAACATGGTTTGCGATATATATCACGAATATCAATCTCTGTCATTGACGCGGCGCGGAGCGGGCGATACAAGTGGGCGGTACGTTTCCTCGGGGTCGCGGGTTCGGATCCCATTCGGTCGATTTTTTGTTTGTTTAATTGCTTTCATTTACAGTTGCGTTAGCGACGCGCGTGAAATCGAAACGGCGGTCATCAAACATGCATTAGATGCACAAAAACCGGCGACACCGCCGCTCCCAAAATGGACGTTTTCTGCTACAGTTATACTTTTTACCTTTCACTTCTTTCGGGAAAGCAACTTGTTTAGCGTTACATAATATTTCCTGATTAACCGCGGATGCGCGTTTATCCTCTACACACAAGTATCATGGCACTAGGGTCGACGAGTGATTGGTTCGATACACAATTCAGCTTCAGTTTTTCATTACGAATAAAAATTCTACTGTTTCCGGAGGCTCTGCTCGCATTGGTATATTTTTGCAACAACCCATTTCTCGTATCTCGTTACAATTCTGCACCGATATGATCTACGTTGTTCCACTCAGGCAGAGCGTATCTTTAGCGGGCCCTATCGCAGGGAGAGGGCCCAATCGAGGCCATTTGTTCCGGACCTCACGCTCATAGAGGCCTCGAGACCACACGAAAAAGGTAATCCACAAATTTCTACGCTCTCGTAATCCTAGATTTAACAACAGAATCGATAAGGGATCAAAAAGTCTCGTTCTTGAGCCGCAATTTTTCGCGCTAGCGCCTCGAAGACGATTCATTAGCGACGCTAGTAAGCCCCCGCTGGAAATTATTTACAGCTCGTAATAAACGTAGCGTCCGGATATCGGGGCGAATTAATCGGGAAATAAGGAACGCCGGCCATTAAACCGTCTTAAGTCCCAATTAAGAT